GGCGCAATGTTTTGGCGTACGCGCCGTGTTCTCCGTTCTTGAAAGAACGTCAACGGTTCATCAACGGACGAACGGAAACGCACTAGAAATCACCGACGATATAATGAATGAAATCTATATGTGACAAAACGAATAGATTTTCATCCACGTTTTCTATCGTTTTCCCCGCGTTGCATCGCGAACGCGGCGCTCTCGACGTCGGGATGCCCATCATTTATGATGTTCAACCATCCCCGTTTGTCTCGCGTCCTTCCGTTACCACTGTACCAGGGGGAGGCGTCCCGATGTTCGCGCGCACACGCGCGATGCTCGTTTCTCCTCTTTTTCCATTCTCCGTATACCTTGCACCTACTACCCTCCTACCCTTTTGCCGCTTCTTGCGTCATTTGAATCCGTCTGTGTACAGGGTGAAACATTTATCTTAGCTGTTTTGAATAACTCCGCGACGGCATTGCCGTGTGGCGAAATTGGCGTAGGTATATTGGACGAATAATGAATATTTCGGATGATGTATCTTTGGAGAAAGACGTATTCGTGAAGGAAAGTATAATAAATATTAAAATTTATAAAGAGATACAGTAAACAATGATAAACGTATTTCTGCTTCATATAATATTATGAAATAAACGTTACGTTTATTAGACTCGAGAAAATTAACTTGAGAGAAATCATAAATTCCATCAATGTCGAAAAGATGAATAGTAACTTCATAAAATATCGTGTTGTAACATGATATTCGTTCTGTCGAGGCAAAATGACTCGTGGATGGATCGAGGAAAAACAAACGATTCTTTTTTTAAGATCTCCCAGAGCAGAGAGCCTCGAGATGTATCTCCGATATATAAGCCCGGCACGGAGGAGAAGCGTGGACAGGCTTCTACTCCCGAAGTACAAATGTTATTGTTTGATCCGCTACGGGTGTAGTATTTCCCCGCGGTGCCTAATGCAAACGTTTGTTTTCGCAATCCGCGAGATGCGTAGCCACGCGTTTCGGGCAAAAGAGGTGGGGATCTAGCAGAGCTATAGTTTATCGAACCGAAAGCAAACGCTAAGATGAAAGAGAGAAAAAGAGAAGCAGCACGTACTCTCACCGCCGCAAAGTCATAATCCGCTTGAGTTCGCGTATTTCTCGGCGCGATCCCGATAGATAACGCCAGAAACCCAAGAGACTGGTAACGTGTGCGAGAATTCGATTAAGCTCCCGTATGTACAATAAAATAAAACTACGAAATTGTCGATGCGCTGAAGAATATTTGAAAAAATAATAAAAATATAAATATATCTTTTGGTTTGTTCATTTTTAAGAACTTAAAATGGTATTCATAGTTCGTTCTTATTTTAAGATCATCTTAAGTAATGTTTTAAGATGCTAATCTTGACGGCTATCTGATTGACTCGTGACATCTTAAGATTGTACTTAAGACAGTCTTAAATATAAAATCCGATTATGAATACCAGCCTTAATGTCTATTACGTAAACAGAGCGTTCCAAAATTTGTGACTCAAAATAATATAGTAAAAAAGTTCTCAGAAAATTAAGTAAAAATGACATTTGAAAATTACATTAAACAGTAATGTTTTAGATAAATAATAAGGGTTTAAATATTACTAAACTAATTACTAGCTACACAGCGATAGTATTAACGAATGCTAGTAAGCGCTCATTAATATTTACAAATGACTATCTAAACGTAATCTGTAACTGGCCATATTTAAACCATTATATCTCAGAAACTATTGCTTACAATAAAAATTTACAAATAACCTTTTTATTTAATTTTTCGAAAACGTGTCTTGCTATAGTATTTTGAATCGTGAATTTTGGGACAAGCTTTTATCTTACATTATATCTAAAGAGACGTTTTCTCTTGATTTTATTACAGAAATTAGATTGCAGATACTGTGTGTGCATATACGATGGAGATATGGTCTATTTTCGAACAGCGCAAAATCAAGATAGCATCGACATCGCGAATTGATGACGATTAAGTGCATTAACTGAGAAAATTGCGATCCCGAGTCATAGACAGATCATAGACAAAAGACCGACCAACGGTCGGTAATCATAAATCGCAAAAATTGCTTTGCAAAAATCGCATCTTTTTTTATTTTAAATTAAACGGTATATAAATAAAAAATAAGTTTTCAATTTTGCTATGCTCAATCTATATCAACTGTACATATGGACCTGATTTCTTATTCTTATTATTTTAAAATGAGATTATACCTCTCTTGCTTCCACTTCTGTTCAAATGTATATCATATATATAAATGTATACGACGTAAATGTAAATGTTTCAAGTGTATTGAGTTTAAGTCGGTGAATTTGCTAAGCCTGAATAATTATGCGATTCAACTATTCCCCCTATAGAAAATCAAGTCTTTTTACTCAGTTTAAGTAATAATGATCTCTCTCTTCCTTTTTCGCAAAATTCGCGATGCATAGAACTCGAAAATTTAGAGCTCGCTTTCCCTAATAGATTTACGAAGCGAAGAGAGAATGCGAGGAAAGACATCTATTTGTCTCGTTCGCTTAATTAACACTCGCTAAACTAAATAAAGTCCCGGGGATTTATTAGACACGTGTGCCATACTAGAACTGGATCTTACGGAGAGAAATACTTATGTCTCAAGTTAATATGTACTCAGCGAAATATTCGTCATATCGAACTTTTGCATTTGAACACAAGAAATCGATTTCAAGAAATTTATTTTCTATTAGCGATATATAGACTTTAGATTTTATTTACTTTACTTTTATTTTCTTTAATTTTTTTATTAATTCTAAATACTTTTTACTTCAATAGATCTCTTATGCGATGCTATTTAAAGCAGAAAAATTTAGTTTCAAATATTAAAGAAATTAATTCTAATTTTATCTTACACTAACAATCGCGCGCAATACGGCCTTGACCTCTAACGACAATTCTACACTGAAAAAAATGGTCTAGTTGGATTAAATAGTAATTCTGGTGGAAAATGAATGAATTTTCTGATTAAGTCTGTTAGAATCTAGTTGAATTAACTAAAATTCTGATTGATATAATTATTCTGATAAATATAAGAATTCTAGTGTAATAGATTTTATCAGAAATATTTTATCAACCAAAAATTTTTTTCAGTATAAGATACTTGTATCAATGGACACGATATTCTATTCTGTGTTTTGATTAAGATAGCGAGCGCATTAATGCAATAGTTATTAAGTACGTGTGCAAATAAATTGGATTCTCTATCTCTACATCTCGTACACTATAACGTCATTGTCATACTCACATATTTACGTCTGCATACACGTCGTAATTTACTTGTACGTAACTAAGTCACGACATCTCAGAATATTCTGCGCTGTAGTAATAGCTTAAATATACGATCCAGTATTCACAGATAAGTATTGGGTATAATGGCTACATTTAAATAGACACTATGTGGCACGATTACAATAATAATTTTACAAAGCTCTTATAATTCTTAATACGCAGATTAATTATGAAGCAAATATTAGAAAAGGGATATTTTAATCTCTTGCAAAATATGAACAAAGTAGCTTAAGTTCACAGATTACATAACACAATACATTAATGGCAGACTTTCTTATGCTCGTCATCGCACAGAGTGCATAATCCTCGATGCAATTACTCGAGAAATTTTCAACGAATTTTTTCTGAAGAATCTATATTTATTTATTCATATCTTTTTCTGTGTATAAGGCAATAAATTTACTTGAAAGCAGTATATTTCCTAGCCATAAACATTGCCTTTTTCCATTCAGACGACACGTATGTGCCTTTGAAAAAAAGGAAACGGATTTAATTAAAATATTCCAAGCGCTTTTCATGCCAGCACGAAATACGCTTTGCACGCTAGATAAAGATATTTTCCCTCTGAGTACAATGCACAATCCAGAAGAGCCTCGCTGAGATAAATTCAAACCATCTTTCCGCGTAAAAATGTACCCATTACGCACGCAAACGTAGATATTTCGCGCTCGCTCTCTTCCGTGATTCGCGATTACTTATAGATACGACCATTACATTGACGTCATCAGAAAGAGAAAAGATCGAACAACGATGATAAAAACAACACTCGGTACCTATTTATTGCTAAAGAAACGTCATAACATCGAGACATCGTCACGCATTTTTGGCAGTGGATCAACTAACGATGAAACGAGTGCAATCTGTTCTACGCTCTATAGCCTCGGCTCTACCGTTTCATTCATCATGGTTCATTTGATTAAGCCCACGCGGCTTATGGCTGCGCTCTGCGTGAATCGTGTGCACCACGGCCATGGAATGCTTCCAAAAGCCATTCGGAACATAACAGAGACCGAAAAGAGCTTATCGGCCATTACCAGAAATTTTCGCTGACGTACATTCGCGGTAGATTTCGCGAAATCGTTCCATAGTGCGCGTGCACGTCGTCGTTGCGGCCTACGCTAATGAGCATTCCGATATTATCCCCACCCGCCTCAAATCATGAGCGTGATATGCATTAAGAACAATGCGATGCACGCACAGAATAGTTTCGTAACTTTTGTGTTGTTGGAAGATTACCACAAAATCTTTCCACGACGTAATTGAATTAATACATTTGCATGT